TTAGATTCAGATAATTAAGTCAGCGTTGATTGAGGACCTACTAAGGACCAGATACTAGTTACTAACCAATCAAAGATCAAAGTGCCAAGACACCTTCCTCACACTTATTTCAGAAGGCAATCAGGTTCTCATTAACTTAAACAGATTATATTTGACATAGTTTAGGGGATGAAAACTGGAATATTAAATGGATGGCATGATCATTAAATGTTTGAAGAAAGTGCTACACCAGAAGTTCAAATGGGAGAGGATGAATTTGGCTAGTTTTAGCTGTTTTTGTAGGGGATGTTGCAGGAAAAGGAGAAGCCTCACAGAACAGCTGGTAAGGGTTCTCACCAGGACTCAGGAGAAGCAGGACTTTTACTAAATGTGCCAAGGAGAGGAGAAGAGCGTTCCATACAAGTGAAACAGCTTGAGCAAAGGCATACAATCACTAGGCTTTTGGGGAAAGGTAGGTGGTCCAGTACAGATGCCTCCCAGTGAGAATGTGCTGTGAAGATCAGGGGGCGAAACTTCAGAGGTTGGGAGCTGGGGTTGGAAGAGGGGAGTATGGGACAGCAGAGCTTGCGTGCTGCCAGGGAGTCTGGGTTTTATCTTATGAGTTATAGAAAGCCCTTAAAGGCTGTAAGGAAGTAACATAGGCAGAATTAATCTGGGTTTAGAGCCTTTGTTTTGTTGGCCTGTAAAGGATGGAGTAACTACCTCTCCTCCCATTTTCTTTCATAGATCCTGTCTTATAAAATTATACACAAATAAAGCAGACACATGCAAGGGGCACTGATTTCTGACATCAGAATAGTGAGGCTGCATAATGAAAAATCTCCACCACTGTCTACTCTGGAAACTGCTCTCAGGGCAAAAGCAATGTTTTACCAGAACCCCTATTTACCTGGATTCGAATCCCAAATTAGTAATACTTTTCACTCTAAAGAAGTTCTCTAGAATTTTGACACTTTTTTCCTCAACAGGATATCGTGGTTTAAAATCCCAAATTAAAGTAGCTTGTCTTAGATACAGGTAAGCTTAACCATGTCCAGAACCAGATTAAATTAAATGTCCAGAGGTGCTAAGAGAATAACTCCCTACAAAAGTAAGGGGTGCTCCTCCTAGGAGTTCCAAGGAACACATCAATATAAAAGCATATATATTTCATAAGACATTAATGTAGTTACATTCTCAGTGCTCAATTGCATTTCAAATTATTCTAGCTGTTCAACCAGCCTGGAAGTCCAACCGTCAATCAAAGGAGGCTGTTTTTCCTCTGCTCCCCCTACTGGACGGTCAGGCAAAGTGATTTTTTTTCCCCCAATACGTGCTGTAGGTGAATGTAGGTGAATTTGCTTACTAAGATTGGGAGAGATTTTACTTTCCAAAAAGTAAACAGTACTTGGGTTTTCAGGAGACTCTTTCTTCACTGACTGAACATCTCTGGCAGTCTACAGCCCATTCACTGCAGTGATCTATTCAAGAAATGTCTGGTCTCATCTTTAATTCTTGCAAATCAAACCTCAGGTGCCTTTGAAATTTGCAACACCCAAAGCTACCTCACCTGGGCAGAAATTAAACGACCAAGAAGAGAAAAATCTGTATTTCCATAGTAATGAAACTCATAAAGTTCATTCAAGAAGAAATGTTTGTACCAGTATACCCAGGATGGAGAAATCTTTTAAACTCTGTATAACTAATCTCCCATCACTTGCAGTGTAATATACCACAATGAAGGTTCACATCATTCCAGCTTATTTGCTAAATGGAAACTAAATTTCTACTGTATGGTTCTTAAGGAGAATCTTGTATAAGTTGATATGCACTGTTAGCCCATTCCTACCATGGTTTACCTCCTAGAGAGATGCTGGGCAGTATTCCTCACACACCTTCCCCAGTTCCTCCACTGAGTGAATAGACTCTCATTTAGCACCTACTGCAAGTGTTAGACTTCCCAGCAGCAAAAAAGAGCAAGTCATAGAGCCTTCCCCAATAGACCTAGGAAGAGACAGACATAAATGGTATTTGTAGTTGAAGAGAGAGTCTAGGGGTGTTAACAAACTACAGCGGGAACTACAAAAGAAACTGACTAAAGCCACCTGAGGGGCTAGCATGGAGCCCGGCCATAAAGCATAGATGAATAAGAGTTTGCTGTTCAGCAATTTATTTGTTTATTTTTATTTATTTATTTTTTTGAGACAGAGTCTCGCTCTGTCGCCCAGGCTGGAGTGCAGTGGCCAGATCTCAGCTCACTGCAAGCTCCTCCCCCCGGGTTTACGCCATTCTCCTGCCTCAGCCTCCCGAGTAGCTGGGACTACAGGCGCCTGCCACCTCACCCGGCTAGTTTTTTGTATTTTTTAGTAGAGACGGGGTTTCACAGTGTTAGCCAGGTTGGTCTCGATCTCCTGACCTCGTGATCCGTCCGTCTCGGCCTCCCAAAGTGCTGGGATTACAGGCTTGAGCCACCGCGCCCGGCCTGTTCAGGAATTTAGAATGGTAATCAGGTTAAGGGGACAACATAGAAAGCCAAGAAAGTATGAATGAAAACTACATGTTCTACAAAAAGTCCTGTGTGGCCCGAGTGTAAGCTGAGAGTTGAAGGAAATGCAAGTTGGTGAAGATAGGGGCCAGACCACGGAAGACGCTGACTGCCCCACTAAGGAGCTCAGCCTTTACTTGGCAGTGATGACTCTGGTTAGAAACAGCGCTATAGACCCAGGTGTTTGGATAGAAGAGCTAGAGGGGTAGAGACAGGTGAGGAAGCTATAGAAATAGCCAGGTGTAAAGTGAAAATCCAGATTGGAATAAATAGCAGGTAGGATAAAAAGCAGTAGCACACAGCATTCCTGACTATATCTAGGAAAGTATTCATCATATCCCCAGGTAAAGGATGGTGTCTCCTACAAAATAGAATCAAGAGAGTAAAAGAAACACCTACCCATCCGCACCCACACATACACACAACCAACTCTCTCTCAATGATCATGGGGGCTGTGAACTCTTCTGAGGCTTCTCCTGCACAATGTGCTCATTCCTGGGCCTGAATCTGACTCTGGCCTTAAAAGACACATGGAAAATCTCACAGGACCTCAATGCTGTGGGTAGGGGGTGTGTCCTTTGCCAGCTCCAAAAAGTCAGGGGACTCTGTTGCTTCTTAGAGTTGATAAAGTTATCCTTGAAAAGGGTTCCCAGATAATATACCGGACATGCAGTTACATTTGAATTTCAGATAAACAGATAAGCTTTAGTACAAACAACCTAAATATTGCAGGGAACATATTTATTCTAACACAATAATCCTAAAATCAATAATAATTTATCTGAAATTCAAGTGTAACTGAGAATCCTGTATTTTTATTTGCTAAATCTGGCAGTCCTACGTCTGAGCCTTGCTTCCCTTTAGCTCAGACACCCTGGGCAGACACTTGCACTGAGAAGCGAAAGGTGGGAAGAAATAAAGCGAGTGCTATTGGGAGTTGAGACATGTTTTTCAAAGTCATCACGGGTATGATCTCCCTAGATCTGCTCACCCCCTTGCAGAATCTGAAATCTACAGTGGACTTGGAAGTGAGCAAAGAGCTGGTATGTCATAGGACTGTCATGGGGAAAATAACTATTTTAGAATAATAACTTACCTGCTAAAGCAAATGTCAGTGTACTTATAATAAAGAAGCTCTCAAATAGAACATTAATGTCTATATCACACACTGATGGCAAGAATTTCCTTAGGATACATATAAGCAATAGCCTTATATGAGCTTTTTCAATTTTTTGAAACATTAAATGATGCTCGAAGTAACTTTTGAAGCATTCATTTTGTGCTTGAAATTTAGGACATTGATTCTATTCATACCTAGTATTTCATAGGCATCTATCCTTTGGACAACATAAAGTTCAGAACTCATATTCATATTAAGAATTGAATTATAAAAGCCAAGAGGCATAGCAATTATTTTAATATTTTAATATATCAATGAGTAATGTGTATTTAGAAAAACACCCATGACCAAACTCCATCAAATCTAATTTTCCCAGAGTTAAGTGTACATCTAATAAATATATTCCTATAAACCGAAGAAAATTTTTAACAAGAGCTACAATAAGCTTCCTTCTGAAGGAATAATCTTGTGATTTCATGTGAGAAAAATCTCTCCCTGAGGTGAATGAGAGATGAAGTTATGAAAGTTACAGTTGGAACTATGAGTTTGCTTTTCCCTTTCTGACTGAATGACAAGAGAACATTTTCTGCTTTTCCTGGATTCTTTGTTTTCTCTGCTAGAAGCAAATCAAATATTCCAAATACCCTTCAACTGAAATTAGCCTTAAGCCCCATAAAGTGTACTTCCATGAGCCTTTTGAGGTGAAAAGACCCTGCCAATTTTGCTTAGAGAAATTTCTTTAGTCTCACCTTTGCAGGCAAGGCAAGTGATGGGCTTTCTGGTTTTCCTGGTAACTAAGAATTAGTGAGAAGCACTTGTACTAGACAGCTGCCATAGTCTTACATTTATGGAGTACCTACTGTGTGCTTCTTCTATCAGCCATCAAAAAGATGATAAAAGTCCACAGCACAGGAAGCCATTCATCTGAGTGTTCTGCCAAAAAATACAGTAATTACAAGCAGTGTCACCGTCAGTGACAAGATCGGGGAAGACTATTTTTCCTTTTTTTCCCTCAACTTATTCAAATACTTAAACCTCTTCTATTTCGAGTTCAAATGAGGTAAACATACAACCTCAAAGGCAAACTTTGAGTTTTGAAATAATGGGATTTTATAAATTACTAAATGTTTGAAAGATAGGATCTTAGCTTCTCTTTAGTGTCTTCAGTTAGAAGGGAGAACAGGTGTCCCCTGTTGAAAAGCTTATTAGCTCATTATATCATCTCATAGCCTCCCCACTTTATCTTTCTTCTTAGTTTTCAGTTACTTCCTAATATTTACAGCTTTCCTTTGAATTTTTTTCTTTTTAGTTAGAGAAATCAGGAACATATTTTTCCAAAAATGAGAATAAAACTAATTGCATAACTCCCACATTTTCTTTTTGTTTATTGTTAGCTTTACGAGTAGCTGCTTGCTGTCCAGTTATACATTAGCTATATGACCGCCAGGGCTTTTCTTCCTTTTTTGTATATCTCAAGTCACTCTCTATTTTGTTTTTAAGTAGCCTGTATGCGTGTGTGTGTGTGTGTGTATGTATCTGAATGAAATAATTGCTAGCTATAGGCAAAAATGTATGTGCACACAGATATATATACATGCGTATATATGTATATGAATGTGTACTTACATATACGTAAATGTACACGTGTTTATGTATATGTAAATATGTATATATATGCATATTATACCAATAGCTAGTAATTTCAAAAAAAAAATTGACTTGAGTGTTAGATAACTATTCTCTAAATTCAGTTTTTGATGTTTCAAGAAACACAAAGGTCTGTCTTTTCACCTACAGATGCTTTGTGGACGTGGCAAATCACCTCTGAAAGGCAAAAACTAACTGGATTCTCTTCATGTGTTCAAAAAAGAGAAGAAAGTTTTAAAGATATGCCTATGAATTAAAGAAAATTAGGTTGCTGTATTATGATTGTGCAATTGGTATTAATTTCATTGGAACTCGACCCTGTTCCATTTATTAGATGACTAAGACATTTAACACTTAGGGATGTTGAAAGCGCACCACAAAACATAAGTAGTCAATGAAGTATGTTTGAAGACTTTTAGTATATACTACTTATTCAGGTGAATCATTATTTTGTAAATACTAATAGCATATTTTTCCAAGAAAAATAAAAAAGCCATGTTCTAACAAAAGTATTCACCACGGAAAAATTAAACATAGGGGAAGGTAAACATTAAAGTTAAAAAAAAACAAAAAAAAACAAGTAAATCATACAGCTGCTTCTATGCTTGATGTTCTAATCTGGCACAAGTGTTTCCCAACTATAATATATATTATTATTTTTTAAAAATACTGTCATTACAATAGCTTACCTTTTTTAATATTGAGGAACACTTTATATCAATTTAACTCATACTTAAAAATGCAACATATGTAAATTCTATATATATATTTTTTGTTTGGAATGTACTTTGAGAATAACAGCATTTCAGGACTGGTTTTGTTTAAAGTATACCCAGCCCTCCTCCTTATTTTATTTGATTTTTGGTTTAAATAAAAGTGGACCAAAGCACTCTTTGAAGTAAAAGTACCTGTCTTTTCTTTTTCTTTTGTTAAATCATAGTTTGTTTTCACTACCTGAAAGTTGAGAAAGAATGCAGTGTAAATATAGCTGTTCTCTACACTGGAGCAGGCAGAACAGAACCAATCCCCAACTTAGCCACACCCAACATCATGGAAATTACTGTGAAGCTGTGGTCTCTTGAGGACAACTAAAACCAAAACTAAACCCCTAACATTATTAAAATGTTAGGAAACTTTTCAGGTAATTTCTGTAATTCTGGTAAAATACAGAAAGATTACATTCACTCATAATAGAAATCAAGTGTGCCCATGCCATCTGCAAAGGGAACTTGCACCATCTTGGTTTCACTCACATTGTTAACAATGCCCTAAAAATATACACCTTTTCCAGGATAAAACCATTAGGTAATATCGTGATCATATCCTCTGCATCATGAACTATCACTCAAATTATTCTGTCATGGGTTACCTTACTAACATTGACAAAGAGACAATAAATGATAATTTCAACAGGAATATGAGAAACCTTGCAAAACTTTCAAGTTTCTTTCATAACTATTGTTTTGTTATTGCATATTTGTAGAGGTATTATCATCAACCCAATCCTTTATAGGCCAATATAGTAACGAATGCTAATTGAACTGCCCAACTCATTTTTATTGTCAGTCTAGCCTTAGCAAGTATAAAACTGACAAGACATTTCCTCTATGAGAGTGACCCTCTTAGTGAGGGAGAAATCTGTGTACCATCAGAGGAAATAAATCTTAGTATTCGGTGTGATAGAGACTAATTCCTTTCTTTTGATGAAGTCCCACCCTTTGAGTGACTTTGAGGTGGAAGACAAAATGTCAAGAAGGAGTCCTGCAGGAACAAGTGCTTAAGATGGTGTTTAATACAGCAGGGAGCCAAGATACAGTAGTAGGACACAGTAAAGAATGTGGAGTGTGTAGATACAATAAAGAATTCATTTTATGATCTGCCACCTGTTATTTGAAAGAGGAAAAAGGGAAATAAATGACTTTCAGTTCTTCATACATGCAAATGTAAGTTAGTTATTACAAAAGTTTTGCTGTTGTTTGTGCTGAAAGAAAAGCATATGCGTTTAAACATTTTTTAAAAAATAAATCACTCAATAGGCTTAAGAAAAATACTTTAGTTCATATTTCATTGATCTGACCTTTTGATTTAAGATCAGGGGATGAATCCAGGATGAAAACCAAAGAAAAAAAAAGAAAAAGAAAGAAAAAATAGAAGTGAATCATGTACCATGAAAAAGGCATTTCCAGTCTCAGCTAACCTCAACTAGTTTTTATTGCATTATTTTTGAAATGCCAAGAAACTGACTTTGGCCATAATACTTGCTGTCCAATCAAATCACAGCTGTTAATATGCAATTGCTTGCAACAATTAGTTAAACAGCATTATTTGACAAATTCCCTTGAAAGAGACATAGATGCTATAAGTGTCTAACACACTGAATCAAGTAACTATCAGTTAGGCTGGGGCCACAGCGGGAGGAGAGAAGTTTACAAATCCTTGTCCACAGAAGGGGTTTCACACCCAGCCCTAAGTTTTTGAAAAACACACATTTGCCTGATCCTACAAGTTCTTCCCTGTTTTCAGGAAGAACTGAACTGTGGAACTGGCTAAAGAGGAGGGGAAAAAAGCCACCAACTCTAGATTCATTTTTAAGGAGATCAGGAGGAGAGGAAGAAAAATAGAAATGCAAATGTGAAATGGTAATGATATACAACATGGAGAAAATAAACATCATGGAACCTGCTAGCAATTTCCACCAATTTCCACCAAAGCAGTGAACCCCTTAACTGACAGAAATTCAGTACAATATACACATTCATTAACAACTCCACCATTACTAGGGCTGCTGTTGAAAGCCAAAAAATTAACAATATTCAAAAACAGAATTCTTATAATATTTGAGAAAAATAGAGTGAAAAGGCAATGTTAGCTAAGCTCTTAGCTACATCCACTCTTAATGGCCCCCAATATTTAAACTATCATGGATTAAAGCCATGAAAATAAAAATTTCAATTTGAAATTTTATTAGCATGTTGCTAAAATGGTCAATAAAAACATCAACACGATAGGCTTTGTTGACATAGTTGGAAAACTGCTCTCTCATTTTTAAAACTTTATTTCCACTGCCCCACCTTTGAAGATTTCTATGTTAGGAAAAGCCAAACTAAATATACTGGCTATGGTGTTGTAATAATGCTGGTTTCTGGAATGGTGCCATGTCCTCCCCCTCCCTCTCCTCCAACTCCTTTAAAAATATGACTATTTTTGAAACGCAGCCCGAGGAGGGAGCAATCAAGGGTTCAGAACAATAAGCGCCCTTCACACATTCAAGTTCCCAGACACCAGGTGAACGAGGGAGCTCCTTGTCGGGGGCGGGGCCGGCTGTCCTCACCGAAATCGCTGCGCCATCTTCCTCCCGGGACCAGGTCGGCTTCCCTTCGCCAGCGAGGGAGACTCGGAGGCAAAGGCGGGTGGGGGTGGCGTTCGCTTCCCTCGGTGGAAAGAACGGGAGGCAAACACTGTCTGGCTTAGCCCGCAGCCTGGAACACAATGTCAGGAGACCTGGGGCTGGAGAGCTGGAAAAGTCCCGGGCAGCCTCAGGATAACCCGGAATCCCGAAGTGCTGTCTTGGGGAATTATTCCCAAGTGCACAAGGGACAGGCTCGATTTCTTGGAAATCCTGCGATCTGGGGACGCATCCACAGAGGAGCTGAACTGTGCCCTGAAAAGACCAATTCTCGCCTCCGACCGGTCTCTGTGCGCGCGCTTGGGGCGGTGATGGTCCCTTTTGAGAAGAGGGTCGTTTTCGGGTCGGGCCACAGTCACTGGCCATGGACTCGTGGGGGGGGCCATATCCTTTCTCCCCTCAGCCCCTTCTCCGTTCCCGGTTTACATCTCAAGGGGAAAGCGCACGCGGGGTCTCCCAGCACCGTCACTACCACCGTGGCTGTCCCACAGGCGCGCTCAGCGGCGCCCTTTCGGCCCTGGGGCAGTTCCTGAGACTGCCTGCCGCTGGCTGGAGGGTGCGGGGGTGCAGCCCGGGCCCGGGACACCCGCAGCGGACGCGCTTGGGGGGCAGGGGTTGAGAACCGCCAACTGCGAAGTCCGGGTGCGGGGAAGGGAAGGGAGCGAAGTGTGGGGAGGCAGAGGGGCCGGCAGCCCCTAAGCGGCTACTCCTTGTCGTCCACGAGGTCGGCGAGCTCCTGGAGCACTCGCAGGCGGCCGCTGGCGTCGATGCGGCGCTTCTCGCGGATGAGGTCTTCCAGGCTGTGAAACCTGGCGGTGTGGACCTTGTTCTCTCCCAGGTGCACCTTGAGATAGTACTGCTGCTGCGGGGACTGCGTGCCGGCCGGCACCTCCCCTCCCGCCTTGAACTCCCGCTTGCCAAAGCGGCACCAGGCGGCGAAGCTCTCCGAGTTCGTCCAGCAGATCTCCTCGCTCTTGAGGCCCAGGTGGCCGCAGGCGTTCTGCACCACCAGCTCGGCCACCAGCGGGCGGTAGCGGTACCAGCTATTCACCACCCGGCCCACGTTGGCCGCGCCCGCCTCGTATAGGCTGTCCTGGCGGATCTCGCCTTGGTGCAGGTGGATGATCTGCCCGCCGCCCACGTAGACGGCCCAGTGCGGGGCGGGCGCGGGCGGCTCCGGGGCGGGCTGCAGCCACAGCAGCTCCAGCAGGTCTCCGGGTTCGCAGAGCGCTGGCAGCGCGGTGACCGCGTAGACGCTCAGGTCGGCGCCCTGAGGCCCGCCGCTCACTTTGGAAAAGATGCATTCCTGGCCCCGAAAGGCGGAAAACTGAGTCTCGTTGAGGACCAGCTGGTGCAGCAGGTGGTGGTGGTGGCGGCTGGGGCTCTCCGGGCAGGGGGTGCAACCCGGGGGGGCCTTCACGCCAAACTTGTCGGGCTGCCCGCGTTCGTCCAGGTCTTCCTCATCATCCGAAAAGAAGTAGGCGACCCCGACCCGCAGTTCGTCCTTCTCAATCCCCGACGGGTCCCCTGTGGGCAACTCGCTGTAGTTGAGGTGGGTGATGCGGTCCAGTTGGTTGCCCATCAATGAGGTGGCGAGGTGAGGGCCAGGAGCGGGGATCTGCGGAGGCACAGAGAGACAGAGACACTGTCAGAGTCCTGGCTGCCCCTTTCTGTGTCCCTCCCCAAGACGTGCAGTGCCCCTGGGACCTGCTGGCTCGCCTACGTGCCCTCACCGGAGTCACCCTTTCCGGCCCAGTCCTCCGTGACTCCCCCAGGCTAGGAGGGGCAGAGAAGCCTCCACCGGTCCGGCGAGAGCAGATGCCACGACATAGCCTCCGACCCCTTCCGGGAACCCGGTCCAACTCCCAGAAGAAAACACCCAGGCTGGCTGGAGAGCTTGCGGGGTCCCAGTGGGGAGGACGGCGCTGACTGTGGCAGCGTGGGAGACGGACGCCCAGGAAGGACGGAGGGGTGGGCTGAAAGGGAGAAGGGAGCCTAAGGCCAGTAAGCTGGGAGCAAGCTAAGCTCCCATTTCTGTCCCCACCCTCTCCAGCCCACCTCCCAGTTTTGCACTAGGTTGCCTTCCTCCCCTTGCAGTGGCTCGCACAATGACAATCGGACACATTCTCAGGCATTCAGTTGACACCAGCAACATTTTGGACACTTGGGAGTCCAGACACTGGCAAGCTGGTATACTGGTGTATAATGTCACATACACTCACAATGACAAACCTTCGCGACGACACACTGGCACACTTAGACCCCACACATTCGTTCACAATTTCAGCTCCACACTTGCACGCTCGCCGTTGCACGTACGCCCAAGCACCCGGGCACACCTGCCCTCACCGGCAGGTGCACTCTGCCCCTTACTTCTCTTGCCTTGTCCCCATCAGGGCCAATCGGACTGCGCCAGGGCGAGGCTGCTCTGTCTAAAATAACCTAACAAAGAGGCAGGGGAAGGATGGAGAAAGCCTGTGCAGTGTATGTGTGTGGGTGTGGGTGGGAGCATGTGTGTGTAGAGAGGTCCACTTTTAGCCCAAAGACCCCTTTCCCTCCTACCCAGCACAGGATCCAAACAATCGGACGAAGAAAAACCGTTTCCAAGGCAAAGAAAGCCGCTTCTCCCTACCCGTGATTTCCCTGCTCCCGAAACCCCAAACTCCTTTAAAGTCTCGTGGTCCCCATGGGTGCTGCGGAAGCGGCGGTGGCGAGTGGGTCCTGGGCTGCGCGTGGGGCTGCGGCTCCGCTCTACCCCTCGCTGAACCGTGCAGTGCGGCGCCCGTGCGCCACCAGGTCTGCGCTGGCCGGCCCGCCTGCTCCCACTGGACAGTCCCGGCTCGGCTCTGCTTTCCCACCGCCGCGCCGACGACTCTAAGTAGCCGGAGCAGCCGGTTCCAGGGCCCGCCCCAGGACGCGCTCATTGGTTGGGGCGGGTGCCCGAGCCCTGTCAATCTCCGCCGGCGGGGGAGGGGAGCAGGGGCGGGCCTCCAGTGAGCTCCGCTCCGCTCCGCCCCGCCCCGTCCCACGCACACCCGACCGCGCGCCGCCTCCGGGAGCGGAGGTGTGCGCACAGGCGGGGTGCGCGGCGCTTTCTGCGAGCCGCTGCTGCAGGATTGCGCCCGCGCCCCCAGGTCATGCGAGCTGATTGTGACTGAGAACACAGTCCGCCCGCGTTCCGTGTTCCAGGAAGACAGACTCGGGCGGCGAAGCTGAGTCTAGGTATGGAGAAGAAACCCCAGGACACCCCAGTGTGGCCCAGGCACTGCGAGCGGTCCGGGGCAGGCAGCGACATTGTTCGAAGCGGGCGCCTGGGCCCTGCTGGGATCCCCCAGCGCCTTGGTTCCTGATGGCCCCTAGGCTGGTCCTTGGATCAAAGACCCTTTCCCAGACGTCTTTGAAATTGCTTCTGCGAAGTTTGGCTCCTCTTCTTTGACTGGAGTGAGGCTGCTGACCCAGAGCTCATGCCCGGTTTAAAAGGAGTTTGGTGTCAAATGCCACTCAAAAGCCTGAGCTTTGGCCAGTCCATTCCCCGGCTGTGCCTATGATATTGGCCTCCAATTTTCTGACTATAAGAGGAATACCTCACAACTCATGTGTATGAGTTCATACATGCAAGCAGAGAGTAGGTCGTAAAAGTGTTTTCCAAACCTCAGAATTGGGATTCCTAAGCAAGTTTTGTTTGGTTTTGTGGGAAAAGGGGGTCCAGCAGTAGTTAATGATTACATTTCTGGATGGAAAGTTAATGAATGAATGTGTTCGGAATATTGGGTGTTGAAAAAATGAACTTCGTATATACAACATTCTAGACCAATCGTTTCAAAACTTCCTAACATTAGGCCTCAAAGAGTTCTTAGACATCTGGTTCTGGTCCCAACGCTACTCATCTTTAAGCGTGGACTCCAGCAGCTTTTCTATGAAGCCTCTTTTCTTTCCCAGTGAGGAAGCTGATGCTTCCTAGTTGAACCCCCCACCTCTTCCCTACAAAATGAATTCGTTGAGAGTAGACTTGCATTCTGCACAACCTTGTATTCTGGGCCTCTTTCCCAATGCTAGCCATGCAGTGGGTTCCATCAGCAATTGTAAAAATGAAAACAGCCTGTATTGACCACTTATACGTGGGCAGGCACGTAAGAGTAAATTAAGTAGACAATTTAATCATTACTCATCCGAATTGTAACAAACAGGGAAACAAAATCTCCAATACTAATGCCAGCAATCCATCCAAGCCTCTGGGATACCAGATCCAGTCTTTCACTAGATTATAGTGTTTATTGAATAAAATCTTGTTTCATAAAATGAGAAAACTGGTGTTCCAGAGAAGTTAGCTGATTGGCTCAAGGTTACATGGAGACCAATCCATATTACAACCCCCCTTTTTCTTTGGTAGACTTTTCTGCTTGAATATCTTCAAACCACTAAGCCTCCAGTTTATGTTTACTTTCTGAAGGTCTCTGTACACCCCCACAGCCTCCAAATGCAGTGATTTATCAAATTAGATGCTAAAATATTACTGGAAAAAAGGGTTTTAAGTGATCATCTGTATACATTTGATGTACCTAAATCTTTTTAGAAATTTGGCTATTGTCCATGTGCTTGCAAGTTATCAGAAAACAAGTTGTCATTCATGGAACTGACCACAGGTTGTGATGGCCTTTTTAATACTTGCCATAAGTAATAAACAACTCATTTTGGCTCTGAAGTCAAGAGAATTGAACAAGCAGCTTTAGAGATCAAGAAGTGAGTTATTGGTCGTGTTATAAACTGGACTTCAGGGCTGTCTGGGATAAGGGTATCTGAAGAATTCATTATTGACGTCTAAGAAGAACTCTTTGAAAGCAACTCAGTATTTGAATAACTTAAAAAAATCCTCCCTCCATCCCCAAGATCAAACCTTGTGCACAAACATTTACAGCTCATTTGCTGTGTTCTGTCCTATGTGTTCTGTTTCATTCTGCTCCAGACTACAGAGTAAGCAGGTCGTTCCTCTTTGTTTAGTATTCCAATACTATAAAGCATAATTAAGATAAAATGTTGTCAGTTATTGGAGATATAGTGCCTAAAGTTTAAAAATTTTTGCCTCTCCCTTTCCTCTCATTCCCCCTGCTAGGCTAAAAGGCTAACTGCTTTTGTAATCACATGGGAGGAAAAAGAACCTGGAGCCGCCTTGAAACATAAGGCAGGGAACACATTGACTGTGAGGCTTGAAATAAACGGAGCTAAAAGTAAACTAAGGAAAATACATCTACACTTTGTCATCTTTTGGCAATTATCAGATAATAAAGTAAGAAATATACCAATCGAATGAGGGCTGCTGATTGTAGAAAACGTTTTACGTTCATCACAAAATATTGTTTTCAAATTGTTTTGACTTTTATTTTTTACTCCATCCTGCCTGCGTTTACCATGAGAAAATACAGTGCTATCAAAAGTAGAATATAGTTGTCCAAAACACAAACTCTGAAAGCCAACTAATTTAAACTCTTTTTCAACATTTATTGCTGGGTAACCTCGAGTCAGTTATTGAACCTTTGTGGGCATCAGGAAACTTCCTTATCTGTAAAAAAGAGATAACAACAGTGGCTACCTCACTGAATTGTTGTGAGTTCATACATGTAAGCATAGTGTCTGACACACAGTGAGCTTTCAGTCAAGGCTATCTTATTATTATTCTTGGTGGAAGACAGAGGTCTCATACCCTACTTGTTTAGGACAGCTGTGCAGTTCTCTTTCTCCTTTGCCTCAGGCAAAAGGTAGCAATAGATAGTGTCCAAAGTTCCTTGACTGGGGTGTAGGACTGCTTCTGTGTTAAGGTGGTGAGAGCCCTGCCTATCCTTCAAATACTCTGAGACCTAAATCTCTCTATAGATTTCAGCGTGTGAGCCCCCCGGGCTAATCATGTGGTGGCAGGGAGTGGGGCGGGGGTTCCCTGAAGGATTTTTAATCGTTTTGAACGAACATTTCCTGGTGTGAGGAATTTGTATGGGAAAAAAGTTATGGGGAGTGATTAGGAGTCAGTCAAATATATGTGATCTTTTCTGCTAGTGCCATCTGGTGTATTCTCTCTCTCTCTCTCTCTCTCTCTTTGTTGCTTCTTTGGCACTATACGAAAAACTGTTCTCCAAATTTTACTGAACAGGTCCTTGGCTCAAACTGTCATCCTTTAAAATTGCCCCTGGAGTAAGGGTTCAGGAAAATTACATGTCCCACTTTATACTTTAATGAATCGAACTGTTCCGTCTCCCTAGGCAGTTAATATACCCCCCGATCTGAGCTAAAGAATACTCTGTATCCATCTGGATTCGAGTTGGTGATATGGCTTCACCAATCCCATTTTCCTTCCTTCTGGGCATCCAGCTAAATGACAAGTCCCAGCATGCCTGCAGTCGTTTGCCCTGTGCCCTGTGATTGAGTTCTGGCAAATGGAATGTGGGTGGAAGTAGAATAAGCCACTCCCTGGTGCCGCTCCTGAAACTGAAACTATTAACACAATCTTCCACAGCTTTCTTTTGCCATTTGGCCGTTTGTAGAGGATTCATGGTAGGACTCCTAGGATCTAATAGATGGAGGCGCCACTAGATGGAAGAAGGCCAGGGCTCCTGAATGACTGTGTAGAGCTGATAATTTCCCCTCCCAAGAAAACTGCATTGGACTGTGAAGAAATAAATCTTCTTGGGTTAAGTCACTCCAAAATTGTGTGGTTATTTATTATAGCAGTTAGCCTGTACTGATTGATATACTCTCCTTCATTTTAGACCTATCTCAGTACAATAAAAATCCTCTCGCTGCCCCTCCCCACAACACACACACACCTCCTCCTCTCTTTGTATCTGTTCTCACTGTCAAGCTAACTTGCCTGGAATCCCTGCAGCATTTCAGCAGGTTCACATCACCTAGAATGTAAAGAAATCACTAATGAACACATCTGTCCCCTCTAGGTACTACCCCATATCTCCCTACTATTTGTTCTAGAAATTTTCACAGCTTCCATGTGACTTAACTTACCCAGCTCTCTACACATCTTGCCTGCTTTCTACTTTTATAGACCACAAAAATGGCCTGGGAAATCCCTCCCAGTAAACTCCTTGCAGCTGGTATCCTGCTCCCCTTAACCTGCATGCATGTATTGACACTCTGGCTATCAATTTCTTCTTCAGTGACCTCTTCCAAGTTTGACTTCCACATTTGCATGTTTTCTAATTTCCTTCCCATAACTGAGTGTTCATATTAAAGTGTCTTTCGTGACTTCTTTTCATTGAACCATTAAAGACTCATGAATGCTCCCTGGGCAAAACCTTTAGCACTAATTGGTTTAATATTTTCTTTTAGGTGGATTATACAAAGATATCGTCACCTAGCATTCATTTTTCTCTGTGTCCTCTCCCGATTTTAGGAGAGTTCATGCCTTTTGTGTGGGCCCACTTCCCCATATTAGTGATGGTTGAACTTCCCTGGGTAGGCATGGGTCACTATTACAGACACACTGCTTGCTCTTCCTTTTCTCTGGAATGCCTTTCCCTGCCTGTCTGATCTAACCTCCACTCAAAATTTATAACCCCTCCAAGTGTCAGCCCCTCCAATCTATCTGTCCCCTCAGCCCACTCGAATTGAGACCCTCCTTTATGCTTCCATAGCACCAAGTGTATATTGGACACAAGATGTGTCAGAAATTTGTGAAAACACTTATCAAATTGAGCTGGCATCATGGGTTGACTTTCCTCTTTTTCTTTATTAATAGACTAAAGAATATTTGAAGAAAAGTGCAACATCTAGTTCAAGTCTATATTCCCTTTGCCAAGTATAGGTTTTGGTGCAGTGTGCACTCAGTAAATACACCTTGCCTGACTCAATGCGCACATGAATA